GTGTGTGTGTGTGTGTGTGTGTGTGTGTGTGTGTGTGTGTGTGCCTGTTAGTGGAGCTCTGTAGCGGTTGCGGAGCCTCAGGCACCACTGTGTGTCCTGCACTGACTGTGTACGTGTGTGTGCCTGTGTATGTAGTCCAGGCATACATTACATTGTGAGGACATTTGATCGCCACAATGTGATAAAAACCAAACCATTTTTTCGGTCGCCACAAGGAGAAATTCAATTTTATAAAAATCTGTGACTGCAGTCAAAAAATGAAAAATACCACAAGCCTTGTATTTTGTTTGGTTACTTATGGTTAAGATTAGGGGTGGGTAGGGGTTAAGGTCGTCATGTTTGGATTAGGGTTTTCTCCATAGAAATGAATGGATAGTCCCCACAAAGATACATGAGTACAGGTTTGTGTGTGTGTGTGTGAGAGAGAGAGAGAGCTGTGCTGTGTGTTTGTCTGCAGACTGGGTAGGGGACCCCTGTTTCAGGTGCTTTCTGGTCTTTTCCGTCTTTGGCTCATTAGATGGGAGGTTGGCGAACACATGTACTACTTGATTGTTGAGGCAGTGGAGGGTGTATGATAATAATATAACCACTATTAAAACTGATAATGTTACCATTAACTGATAAATAACAATGCTGCTATTACTACTGATAATATTACCACTATTATTGCTGGTAATTAATAATAATATAAATAACTTTTAAACAGAATCTCTCCGGTGTCTCCCGCTCTCGGAGCTAAACATGTGTGAGCAGCAGAATGAGTCCTTTCACAAACCCTTGCACCCCCCTCGTCCCCACACAGAGCTGTGGTGGGGGCTGACCGCTGCGATTCGGGCCAATGGGAGCACAGTACCTGCCCTGCTGCTCTCACATTGGGAGGGCCATTGGACGACCTGAGCTGCCAAGAGCCGTCTGGGCGTCGGCGGTCGGCTGGTGTGAGCCAATCGGAGGTCAGCGCCTCCATGGAGAAAGGAGCCAGGCCCCTGGGTGGCGGGCCTCGTTAGCGGCCCCAGCCCCCGTGCACGGACAGGCAGATGGTGCTGTGAGGGCCAGCGGTAGTGCAGAAAGGGAGAGCTTCCAGGAGGGTGGCGGGGCATGCGCATCAACAGCAGGAGGAGCAGGTGCAGGGTGCGGGTGCTGTGCACCTCCCTATAGCTCAGCCCGGACTTGCGGTGGTAATCAAAGCTTATAGCTGAGCTTCAGGCATCTAAGCCGAGCCATGAACCGCAATCAGGTGACGTGGAGGCGGCTCCAGTGTCCTGCTTTTATCTGCCTGAAGCGGGATGAAAGGAGTCCAGATGTTCTCTCGAGGCCTATTCTTTACCCCAGCAGCCCCCTGTTTCAGCCTGTCACTTTCTCTCTCGTCCCCCAGACAATGGAGGTCTTTACCGTCCGATGCTGTAATGGTGATGGGCTGGCACTTTGGGGAGGGTGACGGCGGGGACGGTGAAGCCATGTCTGTACACGCGCATGTGTGCGGAGTGTGTGTCTGTATGAGAGGGGTCTTCTGTCCAGGCCGTGTGGTCATGAGCTCTTATAATCAGAGCCCACCCCCCCCAAGCAAAGCAGCTGCTGCTTCATAAGATGACTTGTGTGAGATAGACACAGGGATGTATACATCACTCTGTGAGTGAGTCCATCAAATCGTCTCACTTTGGACGTCCTCCAAAAAGTGGGCAAATAATCACTAGACAGACTTATTCATTGGTGTAGCAAGTCTGAATGCATCATCTATTCTGGGAGTGCTGCGAGGTTAGCCACCTTAATGCTAATAGGTAACAGAGCGTTAGCCAGGACAGTGCTAGGAGATGACACTCTGGGAGTGTTAGCCTCGTTAAAGCTAATAGGTAACAAAGAGCATCAGCCAGGACAGTGCTAGGAGATGACACTCTGGGAGTGTTAGCCTCGTTAAAGCTAATAGGTAACAAAGAGCATCAGCCAGGACAGTGCTAGGAGATGACACTCTGGGAGTGTTAGCCACCTTAATGCTAATCAGTAACAGTAAGAGTTAGCCAGGACTGTGCTGATAAGTGAGTATATTACCTATTGTACTCTAATGCACGGGGGAATGCGGAGGATTGTCTGGCTGGCTGTTGCTGCTCTCCTTCCTGTGCTCCTCCCTGCTCTCCTTCCTGTGCTCCTCCCTGCTCTCCTCTCTGACTGCAGTAATTCTGCTCGACACCAACAGCTGGTCTGTTTTCACCGCGGGCTCGTAATTCTCGCCAAGCGGCTGCTCTGGATATTTGCCTTTTAATGTCACCGTTTATCTTGCGGTGCTCTTCGGGGGACGCTGCGTGTGAAGGTCGCCACAGTGAGCGCGCTCTGGGGCGTGTGGGGTGTGGGGGCCAGAGGCACAGTGAATGGCCTGGATAAGAGTGTGCATGGCGCCCTCGGCAGTTGAGCTGCTGAGTCAGTTATGCGCTTGCCCGTTTGCTCGCCTGCATTCTCACTTTTGCCTGCTTACACACTCACCCACATTTCCTCACTTTTTCACACTCATGCACACTCACACGCTCACACACTTCTGTGATACCGACTCTCCCTCTCCATTCCCAGACTACACAGGTAGCTACAGAGCTACAGCCTGTGCATGATTGTGGGTCTAGATGGAAATGTCTGCTGGGGGGGGTACCAATTGGGGGGGGGGTGCTTTTATTTCTGAACACGAGTCACTTTTCCAATCCCACACAGTAATATACATGATAATATGGATGATAATACCTGCCTGTGTGTGACTTCTGGGATTCTCCATGTGTTTGGGGGAGGGGGAGGATAGATCTGGGGCAGATGCCAGTAATGGGGGGTGTCACTGTTCCCTGGCGACTGCAGTCACGGCTGATTAGATTGGTGCCTGACAAATATCTGTGCCACCACCCCCTTTCAGACCGAAATGTAGCCTGGACACAGTGTCACCTCTTTGTGGGGAGTGTAGTGTCGTCATACTGCTGGCAGATAGGGAGGCGTTATACACTCAGACAGTGTGCGTGCACAGAGAGAGACACACACAGTCGGCATGTACGCACTCACAGAGGAGTATGCCCTCACACAGAGAGAGACGCACAGTCGGCATGTACGCACTCACAGAGGNCACAGTCGGCATGTACGCACTCACAGAGGAGTGTGCGTGCACACAGAGAGACACACACAGTCGGCATGTATGCACTCACAGAGGAGTATGCCCTCACACAGAGAGAGACGCACAGTCGGCATGTATACAGCATGAGACTTCGTCTGCGTGTCTGCATATGCGCAGTCTGCCTGTCTCTCCTGCCGTATGCAGGTGCTTGTCAGGCAGCCTGAATTAAGCTGTGTTTTTGACAGTGAGCTGTTCAGCAGTGGATGCATTATTCATTAAGCACACTCCAGAAAAGCCAGGTAAATGTGTTGTTTCAAGCGATGACTGCCAGTCTGTGCATGTGCCTGAGTCTGTTTGTGTGTGCATGTCTGTCTGTGCACGTGTGTCTGAGTGTCTGTGTGCACGTGCGCATATGTTTTTTGTCTGTGTGTGCATTTGTGTGTGTGTCTGTATGTGTGTGTTTGTGTGTCTCTGTATGTGTCTGTGCAGCTGTGTTTGTGTGGTATATCCGTGTGTCTGTGTGCATCTCTGTGCGTGTGTGTGTCTGTGAGGCTGTATCTGTGTGATTGTATATCCGCGTGCGTGTGTGTGTGTGTGTGTGTGTGTGTGTGACAGCCGAAGCAGGTGACTGTTTGTGTCACACTGAGGAGTTTCCTGTATGTCTGTGAGGCTGTATCTGTGTGATTGTATATCCGCGTGCGTGTGTGTGTGTGTGTGTGTGTGTGACAGCCGAAGCAGGTGACAGTGTTTGTGTCACACTGAGCAGTTTCCTGTTATGTCTGTGCGTTTATGGGCATCCGCCGCCACCAGCAGAGCCTCACACTTCACAAGTCGCCGATGCAGCTGTCAGTCTGATATGTGGTTCCTGAATGATGGCTGTCTGGCTCTGCCCCGCTAATCTTCCCTTAATTACAAGCAGGGGGAGGGGGGGGTCGTCCCCAGTGTCACTCTAGAGCTGGGGGCATGTCATTGTCGCTGTGGCAACAGCAGATCAGGGGCACTTTCAGCCAAGCCCCTGAGCTCTGTGGGGCGATGAAGGGCTTTCACAGCCCCTGTCAGCCGGACGGTCTCATGCTGATCTGGTGGGCGGGGCCACCGTTATTGGCAGGGAGGAGCTCCAATAAAATTCTTTTTTCCTCTCAGTTTTCTCCTTCCCAGCTTCTCTGCTTTTGTCATTTCATGTAATTGGCATAACAATTAATACTGCTAAATCAATTAACAGCAAAAAAAGTAGTTAATTGGATCATAATGAAGGTAAATGAGACGATATGAACTATCCCCACTGTCCCTGTGTGTCCAGGCGCATCTGCAGTCAGCGAGCTGCGCGCTGAGAAGATCGAGCAACGCAGTGTCGTTCTGGTGTGGAGAGAGCCCAGGCACCTGAACAGCAGCCACACCGAGTACGAAGTCAAGTACTATGAGAAGGTGGGGGCCAAGTTACACTGTTACACAGCTACACTCTTACTCAGATTACAATGTTACACAGTCACACAGGCTGCACTGTCACACAGCTACACTCTAACTCAGGTTACACTGTTACAAAGGCTACACATCTACACTGTTATACAGGCTCATAGTTTCACAATCACACAGCTACAGTCATACGCAAACACTTGCATGGATACATAGTCATGCAGAGAGACATGCACTCCATGGTTGCATACTCTCCATAGAGTTAGAGTAAGCATGTCTACACGTGCATACACACACACACACACACACACACACACACACTCAGGCACTACATACATACGCACATTTGCAAAGGTTTTCAGCAACTGTTGCAGCTAAGCTCAGCTGGGGCCACCTTGCCCCCCCCCCCCCCCCCCCCCCCCCCCCCCCCCCCCCCCCCCC